ATCTTTTAGCAGCATAAACTTTTTCTTTTAAGAAATCAGTTTAAAAACTCAACTGTTGCCATGGATTAAAGGAGAAAGGGGAATGGAATAGGAGAAACGTCGGTTTTTAGGGTGTTGACCCCTCTCTGTGTGGTACTACAGTGGTGACTACCTGATGACGTACATCTATACAAAACCACAGAATGGACGTGATGATGAGTAAGCACAAGTCTATCCAATGGACTTCGAATAAAGACAGAGCATGCCAATAAGGGACCATGGGAAGTCTCTATCCCTTTCTAAAACTGCTTTAAAAATAATGGATTAAAAGTAAGTAAATGCCATCACTTTAAAAACAGCTACTTTTTATTGTTTCAAATATTTTTATGATTTGTTTATTTTTTGAGAATTTCATGTACAAGTATTGTATTTGTAACATTTCCAGTGCTCCCAGACCCCCCCAACTCATCCCGTGTCCCCCACTCCTCAGTTTCTTGACCTTTTCCTTATTGTTATGTGTACATATGTGACCGTCCCCACACATAATGCACTGAGTCAATTAGTGCGTACATATGTGACCATCCCCACACATAATGCACTGAGTCAATTAGTGCTGCTTGTGTGTACTTCTGTTTAGTTTTGAAAACTTTTAATGTTTTAAAAACTAGCCTGACTTTTTTTATGGAATGTGTGTATATGTGTCTGTGTGTCTGTGTCTGTCTGTATGTCTGTGTCTATGTCTCTGTGTGTGTCTGTGTGTCTGTATGTGTGTATATGTGTCTGTGTGTCTGTGTCTGTCTGTATGTCTGTGTCTATGTCTCTGTGTGTGTCTGTGTGTCTGTATGTGTGTATATGTGTCTGTGTGTCTGTGTCTGTCTGTATGTCTGTGTCTATGTCTCTGTGTGTGTCTGTGTGTCTATTTGTGTGTATATGTGTCTGTGTGTCTGTAAAAAAAATCAGTGAAGAGGTCACAAAGTTGAGTGGGAGTAGGGGGGACCTGGGAGAGTTAGATGGGGGAGAGAGTAGGTGTGTGTGTTTTTATGTGTCTGTGTGTGTCTGTGTCTATGTGTGTGTCTATGTGTGCATCTTTTTGTGTGTCTGTGTGTCTGTGTGTCTGTGTGTCTTTGTGTGGGCACAGTACATTATTTGTGTGTATATGTGTCTGTGTGTCTGTAAAAAAATCAGTGAAGAGGTCACAAAGTTGAGCGGGAGTAGGGGGGACCTGGGAGAGTTAGATGGGGGAGAGAGTAGGGTAGAGGTGATGCAAAAACACAGCTCATTTCTACCTCCCACAAAATTCCAATCCAAGAGGATGGAATTTTTTTGAATCTTTTTTTTTTTATTTTTACAAAAACTTTATTGAGAATTTCATACCTGCATATAAAGTGTTTTGATCAAATCCATGCCCACTCCCTCCCCTCCAACACCTCACATATCTCCCCATCACTTTTTTTCTTTTTTTTTTTCTTCTTTGATTTATTTATTTTTATGGGGCTTTTGGCTACATTCCTCCCTCTGAAGAGGTAACCCTAACATTTTTTAAGGATAAGATACAAGCTTGGGAGCTTGTATATTATCCCTAAAATATTACAGGGTTACCTTTTCAGGGAGGAAATGTTAGAGTAGTAAATAGTTCCATAAATTTAACTGGTCAAGACTATAAAATCTCTACTCTTTCCAGTTTCACTGGTCAATCACCTGGTCATAGGACCACCCCTAGAAAGGTGGCTTCACCTTAAGTCAAGCTAAATAGATGGGCGGAATACCTGGTACATTAATGAAATAGTGAATTTTTCCCACCTGGAATCCCGCCTCCTAGAGCAGAACTTCTGGACCAGCCACAGTCATGTAGTCTGTAAGTCTGCCCACTTTTCTGAATTCTTTGGAAAAGTGTAATCTCTCCTGTTCTTCTCCATATCCCTTTTCTAAATGTTTTCTTTAAGGCTTTGGGCTGCCCCTAGCATCTTGTATTTCTTTACTTTCTCTAAAGCTTCCTTCTCCCAGCCATGAGGCTGCCAGTCAGCCACGTGTCTGACCTCCATGCAGGCTCTAAGTCCACGTGGTTTCATGGCTTTCTTTCCCTCTTCCCACCATTCTCCTCCTCAAGGCAGGTACCAAGATTACTAGTTCACCTGCCCTGAGGATCTTTCTTTAAAATTCTAATAAAACTGTAAAAGCTTCAAAGAAAAAATATAGCTCATATATGAAATTGTCAAAAATTAAAAATTTAAAAATTCAATAGATTCCAAGATAAAGTTTAGTATTTCAGTCAGAAAATATTAAAAAGAGATGGAAATGTAAAATAAAAAATGTTGAAAATGAAAAGACCAAGAAAAAAGAAATAATAGCATTTAATAAAGTATCGTCTCTCTTATAAATAATTCACAAATTATTTTAGTGAGTCATGTACAAATTTTGAGCAAAGAAGACAAGCTGAATCTTATTTTGTAAAAGGAGTAAAGAAGCAAGATGACTTTACATGTTTAAAGAAATTTATTAATATTGGGGCTGGAGAGGTGGCTCAGCAGTTAAGAATACTGGTTGTTCTTGCAGAAAACCCGGGTTTGAATCCCAGAACCCACATGGCAGCTAACAACTGTCTGTAACTCCAGTCCCAGGGGATCCAACAGCCATCCTCTGAGCTCTGTGGGCATTGCACAACATGGGTGCACTTACCTACATGCATACACATAAAATAAAAGCAATAAATAAAATGTTTTTAAAAAGAAATTTATTAATAATGAAAACTTGTGTTCTGGGAGGATTGGGTAGAGGTCCAGAATGTGTTCAGCCCAAATTCCAATCTAGAAGACTTCATCCACCTCCCTCTCCAAGGCACACCACACTCACTTAGTGACCTAGTGTGCTTTCCCCATGTGCCTAGGGAAGGAAGAGGCAGATATTAGTAAAAAAGCCACATACACACATATAAGTTCAAAATGTAACTGACAAAGTTAAGAAATGTCTGAGGACTCTGAGCATGTGTAACAGGGACTTTAAAATGGAGAATAACCACATTTTAAGTGAGTTTAAAAGAATGCCAAAAACTATTATTAAGATTGAGGGGGGTTTTTTGTTTTTTGTTTTTTGTTTTTTGTTTTTTTAAGTACTCTGGGTCCAGTGCAATGGCTCAGTAGGAAAAGTTGCCTGCCATTAAACCTGACGACCTGAGTTTAACCCCGGGACCCACATGGTGGAAGGAGAGAACTGAGTCTCCCAAGTTGTCCTCTGACCTCAACACACAGACTGTGGCACACACAATAATAATTTTTTAGCAGTACTTTGAACCTCAACACACACATGCAAGACTAACGGTGACTATTCCGTGCTCACATGTAGGTATTACGAAGACTGAGGCATGATGTAAGTAGTACTTTATAGAAAGCACGACTCAAGAAACTCATGGTCTTGCTGCAGAAACAGGCCTTGATTGCCCATGGCGACTGTCCTGGCAGAACGCAGGTGCTGGGAGCTGCAAACCTGAGGTCTCACTCCATCCCTTCCCCCTGCCTCCTCTCTTCTCTCACCAGCTAGCCTTCCTCCCTTAACAGTACTGCTGTCTGCAAGTGTCAAGCCTCTCGCCAGAATCTCTCCCTTAGGGAAACAGTAGTTTCAAAATATCAGCACGCTCCATGGTCAAACTGCTTCCCAAGTCCTTAGGTTTGAGCCTTGCCGCTGTCCCAGAGCTCATTTTCCTGGGCCCCAGAATTCGCCCTGGAACCTCCCAGCCAGGTTCCCTTCCTTATGCATTTCTCTCTTAGCAGCACCACACTCTTGGCTGTGTCAGTCAGCTCTACTCTTCTCCTTGGTTCTCTAGACCAAAGACCTCTTGAGGGTGGTTGAGACCTCTACACTGCTGGGATGCACCTGGATTCTGACCCAGGAGGTCTGGTCCACAGCTGTCTGAGAAGTTCCTAAACAATGCTGCCATTGAGGACCATTCACTGCATCCTCAGCCAATTCCCATGGAGTCCCTCTGTGCTTTTCTTCTTGTGGCCTCTCTCTCTAACTCCCACTGAGCCGCTCTCCTTTGATCTCAACCAGGACATCCTAGTTGGGTCTTTGGTGTCTCATCTATTGCATCCCAACATGGCCTCCAAGTGCAGCTTCTGAAAACAGCACTGACACAGGCTCCCTCCTCTCTCCACATTTTTCAAGACTTCCCCATTGGGGAAGGACCAGAGTCAAGACTCCCAATCCAGACATTAGAAGCCTCCCCCCACCCCATCTCTTTACCCTCAAATCCTGCAAACTTCTCTTCTCCTACATCCAACCAGATACTCTCTGTTCCAATAAGTCTAGCATTCTATCCATCAAGGACCATTTTCTTTCCTGCACTTCCATTTGGGATGGTATTGGGAATCAAAGAACAGACCTGGGACCACATCCCAAGCACTCTCCTGAGTATGTGACAAGGGAGGCAGTCATTTTGGTTTACATCTTCGGTGATGCTCATGTATGATAACATCTGAGCTTGGTGTCATCATCTAGTGTTAACTTGGTGAGGCAGTTATAAAGGTAGTTGTGAAAATGCATTCCACACATGGCACGGTGCCTGACACATGCTAGTTCCCTATTTGTTCAAGATGTTTATGTCTACAGTCAGTAAGGGCTATGACTAGGTCTTTAGGAAAGGTTTCTCTGGTTGAAGGGAGAATTAAGCCTTGAAACTTCAACTCATGAGCCACCTGTTCACCTGAGAAGCCTGTTGTCTTAAAGCAACATGTTGGAGTCCAGTGGCAACTGAGTTGGCAAATGTTTTTACGCCTTGAATAGTCAGGTGCCATTCACTTTATTCTTAGTCAAACCAAGACAACAGTCCCTGGCAGAGACCCAGCTCCCCCGCTAGCCTCCAGGAAGCCAAGGCATGTACTTATGACATCAAATAAGGGTGGGCAGCATTAGATAATATCCGCTTATGTGAAACTCTAAACTAGCAAAATTACCTTCTCTTTTTAAAAATTTCATTTTTTCTTGAAGAAAAATGTTTAAAAGTATTTTTTCTTTTTTTTTTTTTTAAGGCTTACCTCCCATCCCTTCGGCTTCCAGAACAGGCTTTGCAGAATTCTCCATGAGGGAGCGCATGAGGGAGAAGCTTCAAGCGGCGAGGGTGAGGACTGGGGCATGAACCTTCCACTCAGTGCTGATTGCAGATCTCTGGGCTTGTCTCCCTGGCTTTGTGTGCTCCCAACAGTGTGAATTTGAGCAGCGTTCAATTTATCCTTCAAATTCTGAATGTTAATGCCATATTTTGCATTGACACATATGAAAATCACGCTGGAGAATGACTGTCATTCTTCCAAAGCATTTCCCTTGCTCTGATCCCTTCAAGGACAGCGTGTAATTTTTTTTAATTACTAATTATTCTGTATTGAGATGGCAGCTGATGTTTTCTGAGAATTTTGTTATACGGTAGAAATTTTGTTTTTTGGTTTGTTTTTTTTTCAGTCCAAGGCAGAAAGCGCCCTGCTGCAGGAAATCCCTACGCCAAGACCTCGGCGCCTCGATGTTTTCTGAGAATTTTGTTATACGGTAGAAATTTTGTTTTTTGGTTTGTGTTTTTTTTCAGTCCAAGGCAGAAAGTGCCCTGCTGCAGGAAATCCCTACGCCAAGACCTCGGCGCCTGCAAAGTCCCAGTGAGAGAGAATCAGAGACTGAATTTGGCCCAGAGGTAAGAAGTGGATCCTTTCCACTATGCCCTGAGGTTTCTCTACTCTCTGGACCCCAGTTTCTACTTCTGCACAACAGAATACAACAGTCTGGTCCTTGGTATTGTTTATGGATTAAAGGAGTTAGCACATGCTAAGTCTTTCAATAGCAGGAGCACAGTAAATCCTTTCAGACTAGAAGTTTCTTGGTTTTCTTCCTGCTCTGGAGATGAAACTCAGGGCTTTGCACATGCTAAGCAAATGCTCTACCACTCTGCTCCATCCTTAACCCCACTTGGTAAGCTTCCTCTGAGCATGGGCGTTGTCAGAGGCAGTAGTCAGAAGGGAAGGCAGTTGGAAATACTTGGGGCACAAATCTAAGCTCACCAGTTCAAACTGCTGCTTGATCTCCTGCTTCTTTTTCCTTTACCTCAGCAGACTTGGGATAAGAGAACACAAATCTCCACAAGAACATAAACACCATGGCAGAAAAACACTAGACAGAACCAAAAATTGTCCAAACGTGGTCCTGGCTCATGGTCAGTTCTGTGACACTATTCCTAGGAAGACAGGAACGATTGTCTCCTCACCCCAGATAGGGAACCAATGACAGACCAAAGTAAGAATAGTGCCCAAATTCAACTTGGTGAACAAGTGAGTTTTACTGGGGTTACTTACAGGAATAGGGGTGCGGGGTTACTTACAGGAGCATAAATGACTCGAAAGGGACAGCTGCATCACCAAAGCCCACCCCAGCATGGGTCACAGCTCACGAACACAGGAAACCTGGAGTGCTCTGCACAACCTGTCAGCAGCTCAGAGGTTGGCATGTCCTTTCCCCTAGGCATCTCAGTTGGTTTGAACCTCTTCCAAGTAGGTCAGCTTGTCTGAGAGTGTCTCACTATTCTTGGGGAGGAGGGGCTGAGTAAACCTGGTCAATTTTAGGGACTTTGTGAAGCTATTATGTTGTTTACTTCCTGAGTTTAACAAGCATCCCTGTAGGATGGAATGCTTCTCCACCTCTCATAACAGACTGTTGTTTTTGCAGCTTCCCTCCAAAATAGAAGGTTTTATCTTGGAAGAAATTGCTACACAACACTGTCCCAGAGGAGCCAAGATCCTTTCACATGCACTTAGGTTGCCTAGACAAGCATTCATCCAAGACTCTAGGTGAAAGTTATTCTGTGCTGTGAAACACCGGAATCCAAATAATGATGATGAGTGTTAATCATCCCTCCTCACTTTGAATATCCAGCTCTACCACTGGGATAGCTTAGAATGGACTGAAAGGAATGTATGGCACCAAGACTGGATTTCATAGTGAGTGAAGTAGAAGATAGATAGATTAGAAGGTGAGACTGAGGACGAAGGTGGTACCCACAAGAGAATTATCCTGGCAAACAGCCTGCCTAGGAATCCTTAAGCCACAATTCTGGATTCTTAAGCCCTTCAGTATTCAAAACTTCTCTGCAGATACGACCGCACAAGTGGAACATTCCATGCTTCACCCCATTTGATGGGTCACAGTCAGAACAGATGCATTGAAAAAATATGTATGAGGGGCTGGAGAGATGGCTCAGCGGTTAAGAACACTGAATGTTCTTGCAGAAGACCCGAGTTCAAATCCCGGCACCCACATGGCAGCTAACGACTATCCGTAACTCCAGTTCCAGGGGATCCTACAGCCTCTTCTCCCCTCCATGGGCATTGCATAACATGAGTGCACTTACATACATGCAGGAAATACACACATACATGTAAAAATAATAAAAAAATATCTTTAAAAAAGATGTATGAGGAGCTGGGGAGTTGGGTCAGTTGGCATACATAAGCATGAGGACCTGACTTATCTCCAACACCCACAAAAAAGCCAGGTGTGGTGGTGAATGCCTATCATGTCAGCACTGGGAGGGATCCAGAGGAGCCCTAGGACTCATTGGTCAGCCAAGAGAGCAGGGTTAAGTAGGAAGGCATTCAGCCACCTTCACATATGTCTGAAATCTGTGAGCATCATGGTCCTCTGGAATGATAGGATTTTCAACAGCCTGAAGAAAAGCCTTTGCAAGACTGTTCTAGCTTCAAGTCCATTGCTGTGATAAAATCCCCAGACAAAGCGGCTTGTTTCTGCCACAGCTCTATCACTGTGGGGGAGTCAGACAGGAGCAGCTTGTTTCCATCACAGCTCTATCACTGTAGGGGAGTCAGGCAGGAGCCTAAAGCATCACATCCACAGTCAGGAGCAGAGAGAGTCAACGTGGTTCTTGACTCCCTTTCTGCTTGGACTGAGCTAGCTTTCTTCACTCTCACATAGTTCGGGAGCCCCTGCCCAGGGATTGGTGCCATCCACAATAGGCTGGGCCTTCCTACATCAATTAATAATTCAGACAATCTCCCACGATCTTCATTAAGACTTTCTTTTCAGGTGATTCTAGGTTGTGTAGCGCTGACCGCTAAACCAAGGGCTAACCCTTAATTTAGAATACCCTTAGTTTCTGGGCTTTTTTGGTTCAGTGTTCCTTTTTATTCCCCCCTTACATAGCCAAGTAAAGAGGTACAAGGGACTCGACAAGAAGATGACTCCCAGAGTTGTTCAAGAGTTAAGTTCCGTGACTCCGTACGAAAAATCAAGTCAAAACCCCAGGTGAGAAATCCAGTGTTTTAAAATCATGTTTGTTGATGTTTTTCAAAAATATGCAATCACAGATGTACATCTCCATACCTGAGCCCTGCTACCATACAGCATGTAAGAAAAAAACGAGAAATGATTTCTACTTTTAAAAGTCCTATTTATGGAATGAAAGCACTGCTTGTTGAAGGAAGGGAGGAGGGCTACATGGGAAGATGGGAAATGGTTGGGATGAGTTCGTTCTGCTTTTAAGTTGCATGAGCTTCCGTGATGGGAAAGAGAGGAGGAAGAAAGAACCGAAAGCTAGTAAGTGTCATATGTTAAAAAGTTAACAAATTCTGTATTTCTCATTATTGAACAAAACTATCTCTGCATTGACCTACAGAATCTAGTTCTTGACACCTTAATAATCTTTCCTGAAGCTTTACTCCTGTAAAGAACACATTTATGGAGGGTGGAGAGATGGCTCAGTGGTTAAGAGCACTGGCTGCTCTTGCAGAGGACCTGGGCTCGATTCCCAGCACCCACATGATGGCTAACAACTCTCCATAACTCCAGTTCCAAGGGATCCAATGACCTGTTCTGTCCTTCTTAGGCACTGCATGACATGGGTGCGCTTACACAGGTGCAGGCAATACATTCATACACATAAAATAAATAAAAAAGAATATATTTTTGTGCTTACTGTACATAATTGCTGATATTTTTTAAAGTAACTAGTGTTACTTATTTGAAAAACCACCATCTGCTGCACGGATAATCTAGTTAAATCTTGAACAAAGACAATACAGTCAGGGAGACCTCCATGTGCCAGACTATGTTAGCATCAAGCCAGCTGTCGGTTAGTTGCATGACCTTGTTCAGTTTTCATAAACTGAAGTTGCTGTTGCTCCTTGTTCCCCTCAGGCTCCCGCAGGCTTCCCTTCTGCAGAAGAGGCCTACAACTTCTTTACTTTCAACTTTGATCATGAGCCAGAGGAACCAGAGGACAAGTCGAATGCAAAAGACAGAGACAGAGCTCAAGAGGATGAGGGAAGGGAAGAAGAAACTCCTGCAGGGAGAGCAAAGAAAACGGTATTTGACGTAGTGATGGTGGTGAGGCCACTAGGAGAAAGCTGATGCGGAGATAGTGGGGCTGGGAAAAAGGCCTACACTGCACCGCAGAACAGCTCACCTTTGTCTTAGCTGGATGCAGGTGGATCACTGTTCAGTGGTTGGCCTCATGAGACTTTCTGTAGCCCTTGACTGCACCCCACAGATTGGGTAGTGAGGGCCTTGATTAAATCTCTTGTGTGGGGAGAAAATGAGAGTTTTCTTTCTAGACTCTGCACAAGGGTTAATTCATGTTCAGTGTTTGCCTCCGCAAAGCCAGTGAGACCTCCCTCCTCCACAGCCTTATGAAAGCAGCTTTTCTGTGCCCGACACCACACTTGAGCTACAAGTCTGATTCTAAAACTGTGGACTGTGTGTGAGAGATAAAAAATGGACAAGGGGGGCCTAGAGAGGGGGTGAGATGGCTCAGCGGTTAAGAGCAATGGCTGTTCCTACAAAGGACCTGGGTTTGGCTCCCAACACCCACATCGTGGCTCATAACCATCTGTAACTTCAGCTCCAAAGGATTTTATGCCCCCCTCTGGTCTTGGTAGGCACCAGACACACATGTGTTGCACATACAGACAGACAGACAAATACTCATACACATAAAATAAAAATAAGTCTTTTAGAGATGGCTCAGTGGTTCAGAACACTTGCTGCTCTTCCAGAAGACCCGGGTTCTATTCCCAGTACCCACATGGTGGCTAACTGTCCATAACTCCAGTTCCAGGGGATCTGATGCTCTCTTCTGGCCTCTTCAGGCATTGCACACACATGGTGCACTTACACATACATGCAGGCAAAACACTCATGCATATTTAAAAAATAAAAAATGAATCTTTTAAAGAAATGGGAAAAGTTCTTTTGCTTTCCTTTTCTAAATTATTTTTAACTGACACTTAAAAACTTAAAATTATGTACATTAATGGGGTACTTTTAGGCAAAAGTTTTTCAATAGACATTTCTTTACAGAAGATATACAATTGCCAATAAACACAAAGTGAAATGTTTAGTGTTACCAGTCATTAGGAAATGCTAGTGAAAACCACAATAAACTATGGTTTCAGATCTATTAGAATGGCTATTATAAAAGAGAGAGAGATAGAAAATAAATGTTGGAGAAGAAGTACAGAAGTTGGATATTATGCACTGCTGACAGCCATGTGAAATGGTAAAGCTGCTGTTATAAACATGATGAAAGTTCTTCAAATTTTAAAGAGCATTGGAGCTGGAGAGCTGGCTCAGTGGTTAAGAGCAACGGCTGCCCCGAGAGAGGACCTAGGTTTGATTCCCAGCACCCACATGGTAATTCACAACCATCTATAACTCCAGTTCTAGGGAATTTGATGCCCTCTTCTGGCCTCTGTGGGCACTGCACGCACATGGTGCCCTTACATACATGCAGGCAAAAACATTTATACACACAAAATCAAAATAAAGAATTTTAAACAATTTTAAGAGTATTATAATATGATCCAGCAATTCAACTCTGAGCATATAACAAAAATAATGAAAAGAGGGGGCTTGGGAGATGACTGCTCTTGCAGAGGACCTGGGTTTGATTCCCAACACCCACATGGCTGCTAACAACCATCTATAACTTGAGTTCCAGGGGACCACCAGCCTCTTCTGGCCTCTGCAGGCATTGCACCCATGTAATGCACTTAAATATATACAGGCAAAACATACACATAAAATAAAAATAAATAAAATAGAAAGACTTAAACAGATACTTCCATTCCACTGTTTAAGCAGCATTATTCACAATAGCCCAAAAGTAGAACCACCCTAGTGTTCACTGGCAGATGAATAAATAAACTACCATATGCAAACACAGTAGAATCTTATTCAGCCTCCTAAAAGATAGAAATCTTGCCACAGGCTACAATGAAGATGTTCCCTGAAATTTTATGCTAACTGGTTTAAATTTTTTAAAGGAGAGGAGAAACAGAGAGGAAAGTAGAAGAAAGAAAGACCAGGCCTGCTGGCACACGCCTGGAATCCCAGTCCCTGAGAAGCTGAGTCAGGAGGATCAAAGCCAGTCTGGCAAAACAGGAAGACCCTGTCTCCACCCCACACATACACACTAAAAAGAGGGGAGTTTCAAAAATGCTCAAAATTAACATACCTCAACGAATGTAGTACAGCCACTGTCTCACAATCACTTAATTTTATCCTCACCGAGTCCTAACGTGTGAACTCTGTTCCTATCTCCAAGTTACAGTTGAAGAAACTAAGATGAAAAGGCAGCTTGAGGCAAGCTGGGATTCAAACACAGGCTGTCTGAGCTGGGCCTGGCCCCTGTACCTGTCCACTTTCCGCCCTGGGCCTCGGGTTGGTGCTGGTGGAGGATTAAATACCACATAATTTATGAGCCCAGGTTATTTAAATAAACAGCACCAAACAAGCATCTCCAAAGGCCATGAGACATGCGATTTCCCATTGTGCTGGTTACCACTTCTGAGCTGGCCTTTTCCAGATACACAAAATAGCAGAAAACACCAAGGAAAGGACACCGGTGAAAACAACTGTCACTTGTTTCACCTTTTGCTGAAAAAAGCAAGAGGAAGATACAGTGTGTGTGTGTGTGTGTGTGTGTGTGTGTGTGTGTGTGTGTTGTGTGTAGTGTCTGTGTGTGTCTGTGTGTTCGTGTGGTATGCATGTGCCACTGCACTCATGTGGTCAGAGGAAGCTTCAGGTGTCAGTCTTCTCCTTCCTTGCTCAAGGCAGGGTCTAGCTGGCCAGTGAACTCCCAGGGTTTCCTCTCTCTGCCTCTCCTCCCCCCATAGGATCGCGCTGGGGTTACAGGTATCCTCATTACTCATCTGACTTTTTACATGAGTTCTGGGTATTTGAACTCAGTCCCTCACTTGTGTGAGGCATGTCTGCACCCTGAAAAATACTATTTTGTTGTAGGATGTGTTAAGTTTGATGGGTTCAGATTTGGTGACTACTTTCGCAGGTAAGCTAAGAATCTTGGCATGACTTCTTCCTGTTATTTTTCAATGTTGTGAAGGAGGAGGAAGAGCTGCTGAATGGCAAGGATGCCGAGGACTTCCTGTTGGGCTTAGATCCCACAGTGCACAACGTTGTAGCAGTCAAACCTGCGGAGTACAAAAGTGCCCACGTTCGGCTACAGAAGGAAAAAGAAACCCTCTTCACGCCAAGTCGACTGGCAGGTACTTGCTCTGTTTATTTCCCTGCTCAGCTTGGACACGTTCATTTTCGTGAAGATGAAATACGGCTGGCTGGCATAAAAGGACTGGCCGTTTCCAGAGCTGGTACTAATTTCTCATCTGATCTAATAATTAAAGTCTATTTTCTGGGATGGGGAGAGGGTTCAGTGGGTACAGTGCTTGCCTTGTAACCATGAGGACCTGGATTTGGATCCCCAGCATCCAAGTCCAGCAGCAGCATGTGCACACAGCCTCAGTGCTGTGAGATGGAGATGGGTGGATCCCTGCAGATGCTGGCCAGTTAAGTCTAGACAGGTGAATGCCAGGGTTCTTGAGAGATCCCATCTCAAAAAAGAATGTGAAGAGCGATTGAGGAAGAAACCTGGTATCGACCTCTGGCCTCCACATGCACACATAATCACTCACCTGCAAACGTAAGCATACACGACACACACACACCAAGACACAGACACACCACCACACACACACACACACACACACACACACACACACACAAAGAACCACCTTCTTCAGATAAAAATAAGGATTATAACTCCATTGATAGAGTGTCTGCCTAACCTTCATGAAGCCCTGGGTTTTAGTCCCAGTACTGCATGGACTGGGCATGATGGTGTATGCACTTGGGTCAACGCAGGAAAGTGAGAGGTTCAAGGTCACTCTCAGCTACACAGTGAATTTAAGGCAAGTGAGATCTTGTCATACAAAAATAGCGAAAACAATACACTCCATTCAATCCATTCAGGTAACATTTTTTGACAGAATTGTGTAAGAAACATCAGGGTGACATGGGAACCCCTGCATCACATCAATGGCCAATCTAGGGGCCAAGAGCACAAGACCCCAACATTCAGGCTGTGCGAAGTCTCTCACTCATCCTTGGGGAAGTGGCCAGAATTTTGGGATTAGGACCATCTGATAAACCCCATTCATTGCTCGTGGCCCCCTGCTTGGTTTTGGTTTCTCTTCAAAGAACCTCATACTGACCCAACTCTAGTCCTTAACCCATGAAGTGACAAAGCCTGGAGTCCTGCAGCAGAGCCCCTTGGGTTGTTAAGAGCTGGGGCTCTACCTCACTCTCTCTCTCTCTCTGCTCCCTTTTGGGAGGGGGAAATGAGAGAACCAGTACACCCTAATCGGCTCTTGGAAAGTAAAGTTCTTATGAATATGTGATGTTCTATCAGAGTTCTGATTAAACACTGAATCAAAGCAAAGGTAAGTCATCTCTATTTTGAGAGATCATTTTGAATCACATATGCTCAAAGCATTGGAATTTGATAGATATCCAAATTTTCTTTTTAAAATAAGTACCTGGTACAAATGCTCAAATAGTATGTGATTTGCCCCAGTAATTACATTGCTGAGTGCATGTGCCAGCCTGCCCTTCACCAAGTGCTTTCCCAAGGGCATGACACACATGGTTAGCCTGTGTCTGAACCAGAGAGGCAGATGGCGATCTTTACCATGCCTCCTTCATGGATGAGGAAGCAGGAGCCTAGGGGAATTAGGGAAACAGCCCAAAACATGAACTAGTGACTGATGGAGGCAAATGGTCTATACACCTAGCTGTAGTACACTATGGTTTCCTGGAAATAGAAGAAATGCATTTGCAGCAGCCTGGCCCAAGAAACAGACTGTCACCTGTGCTTCTGCTTAGAGGACTTAGATTTCTCCCCAGAGCCCCACAACTTGGAATAGAGGTTAGATCATAAGAACCTCTCCTGGGCCAGGTGTGGTAGTGCACACCTTTAATCCCAGTGCTCAGGAGGCAGAAGCAGGCAGATCTTTGAGTTGAAGGGCAGCCAGGGCTATATAGTGAGACCCTGTCTCAAAAACAACAACAACAAAAATAACCTCTCCCAAGGGCTGATACAGACTGAGTTACAAGTAGGGGATTGGCAAGGGCCTGCCAGAGGTATAGCAAGCCCTGATTGCACCTGAAGCCTGTTCTGGCAGGCATCTGAGGATGGGTATATCTTGTAACCTTCTCCAATCTCAAGGGAGGCCCCAAGGAAGAGGTGACACTGTGACCAGGAGCAAGCTCCTTTATTCCCAGGTGCATTGACTGAAGACAAGAGAGAATAAAATTTACCTAAAAGGTGACTGCGGAATCACTGGGAAAACTATGTATGTGGAAGGCCTGGTGTTACGAACACCAGTGCAGGTGACCAAATCCAGCTTCTGCCCCGTTGCTATCGCCATTTGACAGAAGTGGCCTCCAGAGGAGCGCATGCTCACCCCAGTGATACAGGAAGATCACATCAGGCTTCTCCTTACACTTATTTGCATCTTTCTTCATTAACTTTGTAGGTAGTACCTATGCAATAAATAAGGAAGCATGTATTAGCTGAGCCGTCAAACTATCTTAATGGAAAATTTTGGACACCACCACATTAGCATGATTTGGTGTTTGGCAGAGTGAATGAGAAGGTTGTCTATTGTTTTCTGAGGACCAGAGGAGAGTTTTCTAGGAACAGAATTACTGGTTTGGGGGATATGTAGGAAATTCAGTGTCCAAATGGCCACACGCAAACAAGACAGTATGGACAGGTATTTACTTTCATTCAAAGGGAGAGAATTTTGAGCCCAAGTCACATCCTAACCCCACAGGGCATCCTGTCCTGGCTTCTCCTCACCCTCTCTAGTCTGCTGTGCTGCAGCAGGCCCCATAGCCTTGACAGAACCTTAAATTTGATCGGGTCCCTCCCTACCACAGAGCCCCAAGCTCTTCCCTGTGACCTGAAATCAATCAATCAATCAATCAATCAATCAATCAATCCCCCTCTCTTCACTCTCTCTCACTGCACCATAGCATTCTGGAAGCTTGTTTCCCCAACATGCCCAGTCTTTAGAAAGGTCATGCCTCACATAAGGGTAGGGATTCATTCTGAGAAATGTGTCATTAGGCAATTTTGTACTTATGTGAACCTCACAGTGTTCTTGTGCAGACCCAGGTGGTACAGTCTCCTGTGAACCTGGGTTGTCTTGGATATAGCCCGTGGGACCTAGAGGAAGATGTGTACAGCAGGTCGCCATGTTGATATTGTAGGTACCTCTAACCCAGTGGTTGGTACAGTGCCACCAGGTGACAGAAAACTTTCAGCTCTGTTGTAATCTCATACAATCCTAGGCAGCCCCTCAGTAACTAAATCACTGCACAGCACATGTTCCCCACCTTGCCGGGTCCACCTTCTTAACATCCATGCCTCCTCTCAACATTGGGTACCAAAGGCATCACCCCTGACCAGACCATCTCTTCTCTCCAAGTTCATTCTCCTCTCCCTAAGTTGCTATTACCTATGTGTTTCTTCATCACACATACCATCCTTTGATCAGAGTCTGTGTAGACCTCGCCTCTCCTTGCTGCCCGTTGCTCCCTCTGGCAATTATGTGGGAGCCACACAGCAGCGGCCTCACTTGGAGCCCAGTGTTGCATGAGCATTTGACACTAGAAGGTGCTCAGTGAAGATGTGGTCTATGAATGGAAGAAAAGGAGTGTATGATGTATGGAGACCAGACTTCTTCAGTGCTGGGGCTCAGACCCAGGTCCCTGTACGTGGGAGGCCAGTACCATGTGACTACATTCCCAGGGCTCAAGCTTTAATTTACAAAGCATTTCCTTGGGCTTTACATCATCTAATTCTCCCAGGAATCCAGTGAACTCAAAACCATTAGCTCTCCTACAGAGGGAAAGAGCTCCAAGTGCCTGGCCTCAATTTCCTCCTCTAAGAAGCAATAGAGGAACACGCAAAGCCCTTTACTTTGCCCTGTTCTTCTCAGTGCACCCCACTGGTGGGCTCCATACTGAATTATTTAGGTGTTAGATCTTAAGTACAAGATCCTATGTGATATTGAAAATGAACACATTCATCTTTTCCTTTTGCTTCCAGAAATTCATTTAGAAAATGTTATTCCCATACATGGAAACTCCAAAGCTTGTTTTAATTCCCCAAATGGTGGTTTGAAGGTTGAGGCTGACGCTCATGTCTGTTGCATTTATTTGTGGGCTACCCAGTGCCGACTTATAAGAAGCTTCCTGAGAACGTACAGCCCAGATTCCTGGAAGATGAAGGTCTTTACATCGGAGCAAGACCGGAGGTGGCAAGTACCAGTCAGAACATCATGGAGAACAGGTTGCTGATGCAAGAGCCGGTGAGTGGGGACCCCGTGCTCCTCCAGAGAGCCTTCACTGGACACACTATCTGCCAGGCTCTTTTCTTCTGTCTGTCTACAGAAAGTGGTTCTTTTTGTTTCTACTTTTCTTCTTTGTCGCTCATTCCATTGGGAGACCCTCTAATAATACCACCTCTCAACTGCTCAGAGCCAACCGGATCGACTGTTGCTAACCAGATAATGCCAATCTCTTCCCAACTCACAGAATTTTTAAATTGTTGATATATAGAATGTTCTCAATTTCAAGTCTTTCTTGTGTGTTTTTTTCCCTTAAATTTTTAATAAAGAGAACATAAAATTCTTATTAAGCATTCATTTAACTTTTCATCTCGAGTGGAATCAGGGACTGTAACTTAGCATTGGGAGGAGTTTTAGTGAAGAATAAATTTTGTGGAAACATAAACTTTTTTTTTTTTTTTTTGGTTTTTTTGAGACAGGGTCTCCCTGTAGCCCCAGCTGTCCTGGAACTCACTATGTAGACCAGGCTGGCCTTGAACTCACAGAGATCCACTTGCCTCTGCCTCCTGAGTGCTGGGATTAAAGGCGTGCACCACCACGCCCGACCCAAGAAACAGAAACTTTTTAAAGTTCTTTTATGGTCCTAGGAGATGCATAAAATCTGTGTGCTGACACAGAAGTTTTCTACAAATGTTTCATAAACTGTTTCTGCCAAAATCTAAAGGAATATAGCCCTTTCTTCTTAACCCTTAGGTGGGGAAGTGGTTTGGAGATGATGGCAGAATCCTGGCCCTGCCCAGCCCCATCAAGCCATTTCCCTCCAGGCCATCACTGTCCACACAGGAGCAAAGTGCCAAGGCAGAACTGGAGACATTGTACAAGAAGGTAAGCATGCCCTCTCCACACTGCATGCCCTCTCCATGTGAATCCCTTGTAATACATGACATGGAAGTTGCTTTGCTTATTGAATAGGACGAGTTGAGTTTGTCACATTATACTTTGATTGTTAAAATAAGTCACCACCCCGCACATAAAATTCAGAGGGCATGTGTGTGCATTAAGTCATCTACCCACCGGATCCCTCTTACCCAGTCTCTGTATCTATCAGATCCCTGCTTACACAGCCTGTCTGTCTACCAGATCCCTGATTACACAGTCTGTCCACTGGAAGCCCATTTATACATTATGTCTACTGGATCCCTGCTTACACAGTCTGTCCATCCACCCCATCCCTGCTTACAAAGGGCTATGTTTCCTGGCCAGGAATGGCTCTGCGGGCATCTTTATTAGCAAATTTGCACCATCCATGGTAGCTGCCCTTGTTTTCATTTGTCTTTTGTGTCTTTATTTCTCTTTAGTGAGCACACATGCTGCAAGACCATTTCTTCCTTCTTTTCTCTGATCTAACTGGGAGGTTGTTATCCTTACAAATCTTTTCTCCTCTATTGTATTAGTTCTGCACCTTACTGCCTGATTTGAGTCCTGAAATTACTAGTTATTGAGGAAACTTGGTCCTCAACCTCTCTCTGTGCTTCAGTTCTTCCTCTGTAAAGTGGACACAGCAACAGTGTATCTTCTAGGCATTTCTTTTATCAATAACATTGTCTTGTCCTGCTATAACAAAATGCCTGAAGCTGGGAGCTTTATAAATAACTGATCTATTCAGCTCACAGTTCTAGGGGTTCAAGAGCCTAGTGTCAGCAATTGTTCAGCTCTGCCAAGGGCCTCAGGGTAGATTCCATCACAATGGTCGAGCATGTGTAAGAGAGCTTGTATGGTGGGCATGGAAGCGAGCAAGATACACCACCAAGCAGAACCTGCTTTCTAACCACCCATTCTCTTGAGAACTGACCCATTCCATGAGACCAGCATTAATCCCTCCAAGAACAGTGCCCCATCCCCAAATGAGCATCTGCCACTTGCTAAAGTTCTACCATATCAACAATCAACAACACCCAAGGACCCAAGCTTCCAGCACTCCAAACTGAAGGACAAACTTAAGTCATTTTCAAACCATAGCAACGTTTATGTGTTAAAACCCTGGCGATGAACTTGCAAATACACAGGCTCATCCTCTAGCCTCTATCTTTGTCAACTGTATGTTTCATTTTAAGTTTCTATTATGTCCATACTGATAAATTGAAATAGGATGATGGGGTGTGGAGGCCATCCTGTAAAGCAGAGTGCAGAGAAGATACAAGCTCAACTCCAAGAATCCAAGCAGACTTGTGTTGCCTGAGCCTCTCCATAATTGAAGATTAGGAATAACAGTACTATACCCTCCCTCACTGGTCATGTGAGTACTGAGGTGAGACAGGAGGCTGCCTAGTAAACTGCAGACTTCTATAGAATTGTTATCATGGACAAGTGAATGGCTGCTTTGTATAGGAATGTGATCCTGGGAGTGGGTTTACACAGTAAGTGGAAACAGAGGCCCCAGCCCAGGGGAAGAATTTATCATCTGTCATCTAGTTAGTTACATGACAAAGATGCATGATATAATTAGTGGTCAAGACAGCATGAACTTACACACACATCTAATAATCCACCAGAGTCCATCTCTTCATCTATCCATCATTCCAGTGTGAAACACTGATATAATGAAGCACTAAATTGCAGGTTAAAATTATAAAACGGGGCTAATGAATAAAGAAAGGGTGGTCTGATAGCCAGGGAATCTGATCTATCTTCTTTATGAGTTCTAAATAAATATGGAAATGCACTGTGGTCAGAGCGGTCAGAGAGCCAGTTGTACCAAGAATAACACTGGCCAGTAGACTTCCACTTGGACCCGAGACCAGAGGGATTTCCTACTGCTTTTCCCCCTCTAGACATAACTGACCTGCTAGACCTACTCCAGTAAGTTTACTTCCTGAAGTGCCAAAGAGATCACACCAGTCTCCCAGAAGACAGTGTAGACAACACAACCAGAGGCCCTGCCTCCACCTGCACAGCCTGGCTCCCAGCATCTTGGTTTTAGGAGACTCCATTCAGACCCACTCCTCTTTCCCATTGGGAAGCAGCCAGTGGGGGTGGGAATGTGGATAGAAAAGGACATTATTTCCTTCTATATTCTTTTCTAAACTGGCAGATGTTCTAGCTTCATTGTGGTGCTGTGATAAACACCATGGCCAAAGCCAATTAGGGGAGGAAAGGATTTATTTGGCTCACACTTCCAGGTCACAGTTCATCATCCAGAGAAGTCAGGACAGGAACTCAAGCAGGAACTTGAAAGTGGGCCTTCTTGCTGTTTCCCACAGCATTGCCTCTAACTGGGAAACATACTCACAGCTGAGGAAGTAGAGCAGAAGCCATGGAGGAATGCTCCTCGATGGCTGGCTCTGCTGGCCCATGCTTAGTCCGCTTCCTTATACAGCCCTGGACCATGGTAGTTTTCTTGGAGCCTGGCTTTAGTTTTGTTATCAAATGATGGCAACCAAATTCACTGCTGGATCAGGAGTCTACAGTTCCTCAGGTCCTTAATGAACCCTTGATGTGACACATTCACACTGCAGGGTCTCAGCTCTGACAATCCCCCCACCCAGCAGGATTGACAGAGCACATCCCCCATTAGAGCCAAGTCCTCCTGTTAGTGAGTTGCACTGAAACACCAGACCATCAGTTCCCATGATGGACAGTATGTCCACCCCGTAGATAATTTAGGAGTTTAATTTAGAAGGGAGTTATTATTTAGCCCTGCTATTATGAACATTGCCTTTAATTACAGAGAAAAATATAGTTTTTAAAAGTGAAATACTCTGCTCCTCCTAAATTGAGACAAGGCCGTTCATGAAAGAGAAAATGCAAAACAAAATATCATGCAGAAGAAAATGGTTAAATGCTAAATAGAGCCAATGCTAATTTAAAACATTGTGAGATAGGAACAATCCAAATCTAAAAAAATAAAATACCAAATGGGACAACACATACTAGAAAATGCAGCTTGCCTAATTACAATAGCAAAGTTGGGCTAGAGTCATTGGAAAGCAGCACAGCAGCCTCTTTCCTTCCCTCCTCCCTGTTTTATTCTTTGTATCTTTAACTGAATCTCTATATGTATCCTTTGTACCAAGTTCTGGGATTCCAGAGGTAGCAACATTCAAACTTGGATTAGGCTTTGTCAAGAGAAGAGACAGAAAAGGAACCAGGTGTTGGAGGTGCTATGGTGGGTGCTAGCTGCCTGTTATCAGAATGTGCACCAGTGGGAGGCGTCTGTCCTTGATACTTGATAAACAGTCACTCTCCCCTTCCACTGTCTTTGTTAGCTTTTCACAGAAAAGCTTGCTTGTGTAGTGTTCTAAGCCCTGCTTTGGTTACAAGTGACAGAAACCCAGGGCTAAGTAGTTTAAGCAAAGAGGGAGGTCTGACAGCCTACAAAACTGGGAAGGTTCTGGGGCTAAGTCCTAAAAGTGAAGGAGGAGCTTTAGGAAACAGAGCCTCGGGCTGAGACCTGGGCTGGATGCCAGTGGGTCTCTCTCCTCTGCTTCTCCTTGAATGTTGATGAGTCTCATTCTCTCAGATCCTGACAGTACAGAACTCTCCCTGTGATGACTGACATGGAATTTGATGGCCTAGCTTGATAGCTCCAGAGGGAAGGGGAACTAATCTCCCCATGGCCCTCTTTATCAATACCAAAGACAAATACCAGTCAGCTATAACTGACTCTCAGACCTACCCAGCTCGTGGTCCAGGGGATATAGCTTGTTCTGAGAGGAGGAGAACCTAGAACAGCCTCTGTAGACTCCACTCAGGCTCCACACTCAGCCTATGTTATTTTCTGGGGACAAATGTGGCAACTCATCTTTTCACCCTACCAGTGGTTATTTTTTTGCATACCTTTTCATTTCTTTTTAGTCACTGGTATGCACCTCTCCACATGCTGAGCACACCAGCAGATCATCTACAAACATCCTCTCTTACAGCCTTGACTTTTAGTTTTCAATTGATGAAGAATCAAGTGAACTTCACAATTTGAAATACACTCTAAACATACTATCTCTCCTTGGGAGAAGTTGTTGCTAGTATTATGGTAGTCCTGTGTATAGGAAGTGTAAGCAGGTGAAAGATGAAAAAGATCCAACTTTCTTCCTAATAGGAGGATTGGGAATTTTTGAACAGCTGAGTTTAGCACTTAAGGTTGAGACCAGCAGCAGTTATTGGAACATGAGCTCATGCAGAGCTGGGACGGGAATGCAAAATAGACGTACCCCAGGTAACACTGCCAGTGTGAAGAAGAGTTCTATCACTGCCTCATCCTCATCCCAAGGGGAGTATAGGATGGAGCCCGAGAGCCACACCCCAAGTGGTCTCACGACTCGGGAAACACCCACCAAGAGGAAAGGCAGGACAGAACCAGCAGGCACAAAGCAACCGCAGGGGAATTTCTCATTACGTCTTCCAATTGACATCCAGTTATACATGTCTCTCGAAACTGCAGTTTTGAATTAATCCGGGTTATCTGAGTGGTCCTAAGGCACACAAGTGGCTAACGCAGATTATAATTCAATGTTTTGACCTGAATGAAGGAGAAAAGAAATGGACTTCTGTGTTGCAACCTCAGTATAAGAATACTAATTATCAGAACTCATCTCAGAAAGGCCACTCTGGGCTTTTGGGGCTGGAGAGATGGCTCAGCAGTTAAGAACACTGGTTGTCTTGCAGAAGACCCGGGTTCAAACCCCAGCACCCACATGGCAGCTAACAACTGTCCATAACTCCAGGCCCAGGGCATCCGACAGCCTCTTCTGACCTCCACAGGCATTGCACGACATGGGTGCACTTACCTACATGCAGGCAATACGTGCATACACATTAAATAAAAATGGATGGCTCAGCAGTTAAGAACACTGGTTGTCTTGCAGAAGACCCGGGTTCAAACCCCAGCACCCACATGGCAGCTAACAACTGTCCATAACTCCAGGCCCAGGGCATCCGACAGCCTCTTCTGACCTCCACAGGCATTGCACGACATGGGTGCACTTACCTACATGCAGGCAATACGTACATACACATTAAATAAAAATACTAAAATTTAAAAGAAGAAAGGCCACTCTGGGCTTTCACAGCCAGAGAAGACCATCTGTGAGGGGCGTCCTTTCCTCCTGTACCTTGAAGTGAGGGGCTTGGGAAAAATTGCTGCTACTGTTTTCATGATGATTCTCCTCATATGGAAAAGGTGTGTCAGCTAGCCTTTGATTGTTGTGACAAAATACGAGAGAAATAACTTAAAGGGGGATTCCTTTGGCTCACAGTTTGAGAGGTTTCCGTCTATGGTTGTTTGATTCCATCACCATGGGCTTTCAGGGAGACAGAGCATCATGGTAAGAGGTTGTAGTTAAAGGTGCTTATCTCAGGATGGCTAGAAAGGGTGCTAAGGGGCCAGGCACAAAACAAATCCTTCAAGAGCATGCCTCCAGGGACCTCCTTCCTCAAATGAAGCCCCACCTACTAATTTTTCTGTTTTATATGAACCCATCGATGTGTAAGTCCTTATACTAGCATTCACAGGAAAGAATATGAGTTCATTAAATTTTCACCTTTTGACTCCACACTTCTTTTCCAGATTAGTAGACTATCAATGTAGTGAACATGGACTGTGGTCAGAACTTGCCAGTTTAAAACAAATCAGTCAATTCTGTTGCAGAGATGAGCTTTGGAAATTGCTTATGTTATCTGGAAAATGTTAAGAGTGTGTGGCATAAATGCTTTATTTGCATGTTATGAGGTCAATGGATGTTGTAAAACCTAGTCAGAATTGATACTGTAATCCTGCATAGCATCATAATCTTTATGGGTAATAGCATCAGTCATCTTTTTAATTCTGCTGCATGGTGTCAGGGAAGTGTGCTGTACTGTAGCCAGAAGCCCTGGAATCTACCCTGGCTCAACCCTGAACTTGCTTTGGAACCTTTAGTAAATCACTATATGTCTTTGGGCCTGTATATGTCCATCTTTAGATATAGGAGCATGTTGAAGATCATTTGGCACTTTGTCAAGCCCTTCAGAGGCATCATCTCATATATTCAATGAAGATTAGTGGGTGTCTGCAGTCCAGCGAAGGTCATCATCCAGACCAACCAGCATACCGGGAAAGAAAGTCAATTATCTGATAAGATGATGCCTGGAATGTGGAGAAGCAGAGATCCTGGCAGCAGCATCCCATGACTATATTACTGCGTAGCCAACCAAGAACGGAAAAGGGAGCACCACATCGAATGGGCTGTGTTTGTGCTGTGCATGGAAACGCGTCCCATTTGTTTTACAAAGTGCTCAGTTTTTCAGGAGCTACTGGTTGTGAGTTTCCAGCATTTTTATTTATAGTGGAGCGTGCCCATGTGAGTCTTCATTAACTCACTATTGTGCTATTGCCTGCTTTGCACTGGAACTCACAAGAAATAATAAGTCCATTTTTTTTAAACCTACTCAACTCCACACTTTGTCGAGATGAGCAGAATATTAATGTACTCAGGATTTATGACTTTTTACAGGATTTAATACAGTATTTCCTAAAATTTATTTTTTAAAACATCTAGATGTTTCTATAAAATGACATTATCTTTAGTAAGAAACCCCAAAGACAAAAGACATTTATCTTTTTTTTCTTTCTTTTTTTTTCTTTACCCTCTGGATTTTTATTCAATTTCAAAATAACTTAATAGAGATAAAAACATTAATCATAGAAAAATCCTTCAAAAACATAAATTGATTTTATCAGTGATGCAATCATTTTTAAATGATTTGTTGGTAATTTCATGTATTTTGATCATATCTACCCCTCCCCACTTCCCTCCTCCAACTCCTCCTGGACACCCTGCCCAATTCCTCTTCCAAAGTCAAGTCCTCTTCTGTTTTCTACCAGAGTCTGATTAATGCTTCCTACACGTGAATGAGTATAGGGATTTCCCCTACAGCATGGGCAACCTATCATCTATCATGGGTCACTTCTCAGAAGAAAACTAACTCTCCCTCCCCCAGAAACCATCAACTGCCAATAGGTCCTCATCTGGAGACAGAGTTGTGAGCCCTCCTCCATCCATGATGGACTCTTAACTGGCTTGATCTTGTACAAGTTTTTATTTTTGGCAATTTTGGGCATATAATGTACTATGATCATATTCACCCCCATTATCCTCTCGTAACTCCTCCCCATCCTGCTGCCCCTTTTCCTAGCCAATTCCCCTCCTCCTTTCATCATACTTTTTAAAACATCCTTATAAAACCAGTAAGTATTTTAAATATTGTAGGCTTGAATAGGACTACGTTAACTGTACCTCAGCATCTTTCAAAATATACTTTATTTCCCAAATTTACATTAGCCTGTGCTCTAGTAACAGTTGGTGATCTCTGCCATGAGTTCAAGTTCATTTTCATCATCTATGGAAAGCTTCTAGGGCACATGATAACCCTGGAGATTAAAAGACTCTGCCTCTATCCACTCTATAGAGAAAGATTCCCATTCCTTGCCTTTTCTTTGCATTGGTTTTCTGCTGTGTTTTGGATATGAAGTGTTGCCGGCCCCCAAAGGACTCATGTGTTCAATTCTGTTTTGGTCCCCAGCCTGTGGCCCTATGGAAATGGGATTTGAAGGTGGGGATGCTGACTTCATTAGTGGAGCAATGCCTTGTGCTGGTATTCACCTGGTTCTACCCTGAATTTGCTTTGGGATCTTCTGCAAAACATGCTGTGTTTCTGGGCACCATGTCTTCACCTATAGAGATAGGAGGCCAAGGGAGGAGATTTAATTAGCATTTGGTAGAACACTAGACATCCTATCAAGCACTCCACATTTACCATCTTATTTAGTCAATAAAGATTAAGAAATTGAAATGCTCATCCCTACAAAAAGAATTGGATGATTTACCTTAAAGCAGCATACCCTGATAACAGGGTACGTCTCTCCTGGTTGTAGAGAGACAATATAATCAGAAAATCAATGATGGACCCTGCTGCTAAGTTCCCCAGCTTCAATAGGCAGTGGTGATTGGTGGAGAATATCCCAAAGGGATTCTGGAAGGAAAACAAGGAGAGCTTTATCTGATACACTATACGCTAAGATTCCCATCTGTGTGTTCTCCACGCTGGATTCAGCTGTTCCCCACCCCTCTTCCTGTGTTATTTTGCATGCTAGCTTCATTCTTCACAGGGAAAACTGGGTGCTAGAATAAAATAACACTAAGACACAGTATCTTGCTATCTACAAAACTAAATCCCTCCACATTTAACATTTTTTACCTACAGTAAAGTGTATCTATGACCAAGTAATGACTGGCTTTCCCTGAACTCTACACTTCTCCCATTAAAGATTTTTTCAAGGCCATCATTTGCAAAACCAAAGACTTAAAGAAGCTTCATGAAAAAGATTCAAGCCATGCTTTGGAAAGTAATACAGTCTAAAAGTTATAAGAAAGCAAAATTGAGATGGTTTCTTTTCTCAGTCTGATCTTCCAATATCCTTTTCAAGAATTCAAAAAAGAACAGAACCTTGAACTGGTAATCAAGCATCATTCCCCTGACTTGGCAGGACCGGAGGTAGTTGCACCTGATTGATAGTTTATAGCTGACAATATCAATTTGAGGAAGAGAGCATCATTTTCTAGCTTTACTGGGTTCCGCTCACGGCCCACTCTTTCGGCAGGCAATGAAATATGTTCACAGTAATCAGCGTATGATTGGATCTGGAGACCCTCCTGGAAATTTCCAGCTGGACATCGATATTTCCGGGTTAATCTTCACTCATCACCCCTGTTTTAGTCGAGAACACGTTTTGGCATCCAAACTGGCCCTGTTGTACGACCAGTATCTTGCAAGACAGCAGAGGAACAAGGCAAAGTTTCTTACGGATAAGGTACTTATGCTGCCCATCCTCATAGATGGGGCTGAATCATCTGATGAGCCCAGTGAAAATGCTTTGTAGCATCGAATGTTCGTCTCCCAATTTCACATGCTCTCTCTGTCCAAAATGAACGATACATTGCCCTAGAGGCAAATGGAAGCTGTCTATTTACTTTTCCATTTACTGTGATAAAATGCCCTGACAAAAACAATCTGAAGAAGAAAGGGTTTATTTGAGCTCACAGTTCCAGGTGTAGTCCATGATGGCACGGGAGTTAAGGCAGCAGAAGTTTGAAGCAGCTGCTCACATCCATAATCAGGGACAGAGAGCAGCAAGGTGTGCTGGCTTGAGCTCAACCCTCTCCATCTTGTACAGTCTAGGATCCTTGTCTAGGGAACAGTGCCAGCCATAGTAGGTAGGTCTTTCCCATCTCAATGAACCCCATCAAGATAATCCCTCACAGACTGCCCATCTACTCAGTGACTCTAGATCTTATGAAGTTGACAACTGAGAATACCATCACAGAAGTACATAGATACTATGCATTTAATGAACCTCCATTCAGCGCACACACTTCCCTTAAAGAGGAAAACTGGTGTGTGCTGCAAGTGATTCCACTCATGAGACGTGGTTATCAGATGTGGTTATTACTTGAGACCGTTGGTGGCTTGAGAATATGTCTGTCCTTGGAGACATTCTCATATTTGTGTAGATTTTCTGAATATTGTGGCACCAAAACATACCAGCTGCTTCAGCTGATACTCAAAGGAATGGTTTCATGTCAAAAGAATTCTATTGGGTGTCAAGGACCCACTGTGAGCTTTGAAAGTAAACTTGTATCAGAGACATTCACATCAAAGTTCTATTTCTCATGAACAGTTTGGTTATGGGAAAACAGAGAAAAGACAAATGTTGCTCCTTAGTATTCCAGATCTATAAAAAAACAGATGCAATGGCTTTTTGTTAGTGTTGGTTTTGCTGAAAGTTTGGAAATAGCTGGAGGCTTCAGCATTCTGCCCAGGAAAACTGAGTGAGTCCAGTCACATTGCTCATAAGGGATGACAGAGTTTCTAACAAAATTTCTATCCCTACCTTCTTAAGCTGCAAGCTCTAAGAAATGCTGTTCAGAGGGGCTTTAACCCCGAAGAACCTCATCAGACTCTTGATGCAACCCAAAAAACCATCAATGAATATAAATCTGAAATTCGGTGAGTAAAGCTGCCAGTGATTCTTTGTGCTCCCCGTTAGATGCATATTTATTTACAGTTTGTCTTTCCACATGATTTCTTTGACTGCACTGAATGCATGTGAATTTCTGCCAGATGAATTAATAATAATGTTCTAATAAGAAATACAAAATTTGAAGTCTAAATTTGAAAGAGTATGCAACGAAATGGTACTCTCATATTCTGTAGATGTAAGCAAAAATCACCTCGGCCACCACTTCACTGAGCAGCCTGGGCATAGTCCAGTGCTGAAGGCGCCCAGTGGCCGGAACCCAGAGGCTCTGCTTCAGGGTACTATAGGGAGCCAGCTGCACCAAGATGTGCACAGCATTATTCACGAGAGAGAGAGAGAGAGAGAGAGAAGTACTGAGTGTCAGCAGGAACAGGTCTTCACAGACACGAATGTCTATCCTACAGTTAAGATGAATGAACCTGATAGACATGTACCCACATGGGTAAATCTGGAAATCAGTGTTGTTGAATGAAAAGCCCCAGGTGTCATAGCTCGTTCACTGTATGATACGACTCACAGAGCAATAAGAACACCTGAGAGGGAAGAGAGATGGCTCAGCAGTTAAAAGCACTTGCTACTCATGCAGAAGACTCAGGTTCAATTCCCAGCACCCACATGGCAGCTCAGAGTACCAGTTCCAGGGGTTCCAATGCCATCTTCTGGCCTCTGTGGGTATTGCACACATGTGGTGCGCATATGTGGGTATAGGCAAAACCCTCATTCACATAAAATAATCTTTTTTTTAAAGAATACCTAAACAATACTCCTTTGTCCAGTACCCACAGGTGTGCTAAGACAAAAGATATTAATCCATTCTTCATCCTGGGAAGGACAGAAGCAGTAAAATAAGGGAGATCTTCCCTTGTAACTGTTAACAGTTCCTTAAAAACAAATGAACAAAAACAGAGTAGGGACAAGAGAGATGGCTCAGCAGGTAAGAGCACTTGAGTTCAGTTTCCCAGCACCCACATAGTGGCTAACAGCTGTCCACAACTCCAGTTTCAGGGGATCTAATCCTCTTTTCTGGCTTCTGCAGGTATTGCACACATGGGTACACTTGCATACATTCAGGCAAGGCACTGGCACACATAAAATTAAAAAAAAATCCAAAGTAATGGAAAGAAATGTTAATAGTTGGCATCTTTTTTTATTATCTGTACTCTTCTGTCTCTTTGAATTATTCATAATTTTAAAATTCAAAAATTAAAACCCTGATCTTTACCGAAAAGTAAGGAAATGCAGAATATGAAAATCATCTAACCTTCCATCCCTTGTGGAAAATCCTGGTTAATAGTGTTTTGCTAGTTCTATATACTGTGAATGCTTACACATGGATACACATGGGGGTTGGGGAAGGAGGGGGAAAGGGGGAAGAGAGATCAAGATCAAGATCTACATGCACGTTTTATTATTTGGGGTAACAGTGCAGATTACATTCCGCTGTTGGCTTTTTGATGTGTAGTATACCTTTGACCTTTTCTCTCACAGTGCACCTAGGTCTCTACTGTGCAAAGACAGGCATTTATTGTACAATTTATTACAGAACGTGCAGTCCCCAGGTGGTAGGCGTTACTCTTATTTTACATTTTTAAGATGTGTGATAACTAAAACTCCTAAATCTGTGTGTTTTTGTCTAAGTATTCCTACAGAACTAATTCTTAGAAAGTAATGAATCAAAGAGTTTCAATGTTTATTTTTCTTTCTCCAATCTAGGCATGAATTGGAAATTCTTCCAGCAAAGTGGAAATTAGTGCAGTTTGTATACTGTAATTGGAAAAGGATGCTTATATATGAAAATTATTATTATCGCTACTACTTTGGGTATTGTGGACAGGGTCTTACTCTGTTAGCCCAGGCTCACCTGAAACTCACTATATAAACAAGCCTTGCCTCAAATTTGTGGCAATCCTCCTACCTCAGACTCCAGAGTCCTGGAAGCACAGGCATGAACCACTATGCTTATTTCTTATATTAAAAGGAAAATATATCATAGCCTCTGTGCGAGGATAATTTTTTGTTTCAGCAATAGAGTGAATAAGAAAAAAGTGATGGGCTTGGGGGAGCATGAGAGAGACACAGATATAGAGAGGAAGAAGGAAAGAAAGAGAAATGGGGGTGGAGAAGCAGAGAGAGACACAGAGAAAGGAGGTGGGAAAGAGATGGGGAGAGAGAGAGAGAGAGAGAGAGAGAGAGAGAGAGAGAGGAGACAGGAGAGAAGAGGAAGAGGGAAAGAGGACAGGGACGGGGGAAGGGATGGAAAAGACAGAGACAGACACACACAGAAAGACACAGGGTGGGGGAAACACAGCTAGAGACAGACAGTGGGGCAGGGAGGGGGAGAGGGAGGGAGAGAGGAGAAGCTTTATTAAAAGCTGTTGTAAAAGCTATGTTTTCTCCAGAACTGCACTGTTCAATCACTGAAAAACAGCCCACCTGTGCGTGACTTACAGCCCATGCCTTGGTAGTCTCAGGGAACACAGATCCATTGTAGTAACTCCCCAGGCCCTGAGGTTGAAAGTGTCTGCTGATCACCTGCCTCCCGCACTCCCTGTGACTCCCCACATCCAGGTCTGCTGAGGCCTGGGTTGGACAGTTGACCTGGACCAGCACCATCTGAAGTATCTTTCCACTTTACTTTTCAAAGCAGCATCATAACTACTGTTCCTCATCCCCTGAAGGGAACCAGGTTGTGTATGTAAGGCAGCAATCACAGATGCTCATACACCAAGGGGAAAGACTCTACTGGGGCTTCGCCCTAGATGTGTTCGGTCCTGAACACACTAAAATCCCAGACTCCAGCTCCCACTCTGTACCAGTAGTTCCCTCCACTGTCAAACTTCTGGGAGGTGCTTACATCCATACCCTCCCCACTCCAGCTACCTGGCCTTGCATCAGAGGTGGCTCCTGCTATGAGACCTCTGCAGCCCTCTCAGCTCTGACGCTGTCAGAAGTCTCTCCTCACCGCTGATGTCCCTGACCCTCTGCAGCCCTCTCAGCTCTGATGCTGTCAGAAGTCTCTCCTCACCGCTGATGTCCCTGACCCTCTGCAGCCACCTGTCCTTACTGTCCTTTGTTTATTCCTGCTCTGCCCAGCTTATAAAATTCCAGAGTTCCTCAGGTGTTGTCACCTTAGCCTTTTAAAATCTTCATTCCTGGGGCTAGAGAGAGATGGTTCTGTGGTTAAAAGCACTGACTGCTCTTGCAGAGGACCCAGGTTCAATCCCTGGGACCTGCATGAATGGAAGGAGAGAATATATTCCTGAAAATTGTCCTCTGACCTCCACACATGCATGCTTCTTCCAATCAGTCAATCAATCAATCAATCAATCAATCAATCATTCAGTCAATCCAATCAATCAGTCAATGGTAAAATAACAAAAAGCAGAAAGAAATATTACTGTTCAATTAACTTTTGTACATGTTATTACTTTTAGGTAAACAAATTCTACTTTACTGTGTGTGCTGAGGTTT